CAGCTGAGAATAGTAACAGCTGCTCCTTCTGTGCAGGGTTTATATGGGACCCTGTGTCACTATGTCTGGAAAGCCCCAGCACAGCACCTTGCTTATAATGGGCATGTGATCATAAAGCTTACTTTAAGTTTTCTAAGGGTGTTGGCAGAATCTCTGACCTGAGCTTTTCCATTGCACAAGGACCAGTTGACTTCATCCATATAAAAGGAGGATTTTATGTAGTGTCTGTACAATGTGTGCTTTTCCTACGTATGTATATAACAATAATAGTGTTATACACAGCAGTAATAGTATAACTCCATTCAGGTTTGGGACCTGATTCCAATGTGTGTTAAGCATGTGGGAGGGGGTCTTCCCATACTAACACCAAGCAAATTTCGAACAACAGCATGGTGTCCGAGAACTTAGTTCTGATTATATCTGCCCTGGAGACAGCACCAAATTCCCCAGGTTAAGGTCTCAGTCCTGTAAGACTGCCCTCCACCCCCGACTCCAGACACGGGTCACAAATCCCAGTCAGTTACCTGTGCTTCTGACCAACCAGCTACAGATTGGAGGTTCCAGCGACCTCCCCCTTGGGTTTGGTTAATTTGCTAGAGCGGCTCACAGAACTCAGGAAAACACTTTACCAGTTTAATAAAGGATACTGTAGTAAAGGATACAAGTTAACGGCCAGATGAAGAGATACATAGAACAGGGCCCGCAAAAACAGAGCTTCTATCCTTGTGGAGCTTGGGGCCAGGCTTGGTGGCACTTGGAGGCGTCTGGTTCCCCAACGGGGTAAGTTCTCCCAAGCCGAGAAGCAGGAGCCCAGAGAGCAGAGGCTACAAGCCCTTCCCAGGGGGTTTGTGAGGGCTTCATTGCTTAGTCATGATTGACTAAATTATTGGCTATTGGCTGATTCAGCCTCTCCCCTGCCCTTGGGTGGGGTCCAAAAGTCTCTCATTAACATGACAAAATACCCATTTCACCTTTAAGACTGCAGTGTTTTCAGAAACTGTGGATGAAGACCAAATATACCTGGGAAATATGTATTTAGTCACCTCAATGACCAAATATGGATTTCTTATGACTCATATCATAGTCTATTTTAAAAGCTCTGTGAATCTGGCTGTGAATAAGCTTGGTCGGGTCAAGAGCTGGGTAGCTCTCATGCGTGCTGTGGTCCTGCACTGCCATTTGTAACCACAGTGCCCACTGGCTTTGCCATCTCCCCGAACCACCCTGATGAGTGAACCATGCCCCCTGCTTCTACAGGAATGCTGGCTCCCTGCAACACTGTCAGCATGGAGAAACTGAGAGAGGCAGGCACTGGGCTGTTTATGCTGCACAAGTGAGGTTTATTGGGAAAAAAGAAACAAGGTTACCTGCCACATCTCAGAGAGACCAGGAGGCAGTGAAAGAGAGGGAATGGAGTATGGAGGCACCTTGAGAGAGGAGACATGAATCCAGGGGCCAGGGCTGAGCTACTGGACTGGAAAGCCCGACAGCAGAGAAACATCACCTGGCTTCAATCTCCTGCCCAGCTGGCTGATGAAGTTAGCCTTGGGCAGGAAGCCTGGAGAGTGGGG